CCCCAAAACCCCAAAACCCCAAAACCCCATCAATCTTAATTTGAGTAAAAAAGGAGTTAAGAACTAATTTTTATAAGATCATTACATCAATTACATCCTTATAATAACTCAGAGTGTTTTATTTCTTTGAGAAATTTAAAGAAGGTGGGTGATGTATGAAGGAGGAGCATGAAATTTATACATTCAGAAAATCATCAATCAAACTCTAAGAATCTGAATTTTATTATCAAAGGAGATGGCTACCCACTAATTATGAGATAGGGACCATTAAAGCATGTTTACCTCCCCATCCGCTGCATAAGCTAAAATTGGCTCTTCGATTTGATTTGGTATCTTTGTAAGATCCCATATTAAAGCTTAAGAGTCATCTCCAGCTGAACAGATATGACATCTATATATGTTTAAGGTAATGCATTACTTACGGAGAGTGGGGAGCCCAAGAAATAGAGTTAACTGAACCTCTATGTCCTGATAACTGGGCAACTGGAAGCATAGGGATTCTTATATCTAGAATGATGACTTCACGTCTGTCCATCATAATTGTTGCCAAGTAATTTGGATCTTGCTTATTCCAAGCCACTCTTAGCAAGGGTGAAGGATTATCTGATTCATAGATGATTGTTGAATGCTCTAGATCTCTTAGGTCGAAGTGTCTAGCAGATCCGTCCTCTCCTGCCGATGCAAACATGTTTTCATCTTGAGCGAAGCATATGTCGTAGACTGCTTTGTCGTGAGCAATCAGCTAAGTTTGAACTTACTCCTTTTCAATGTCCCAAATCGTGCAAGTGGTATCGATACTTGAAGTTCCTATTATCCTCATATTTTTCTGATTCCAGTCAAAGCTAGTCAGTGGTGCACAGTACTCAGAATGCTTGGCCTAAATTCAGTGTAAACAATCTGATCAAATGGAATTTATCATCATAGTGGTTTTGATTAATCTGGACAATTGCTCATCCATTTTCTTACATTTACTAATTTGCTCTTTAGCTTAACTCTTTTCGAGTCTTCTCCGACTTCATAAATTCTCAGGTATTCCCCAGAAGTAGCCATTAAGTCTGCACTTGAGCCAGCCTATAATTCACTTAAAATTCGAGGTATAAAGATTGTAGCTTACAGTATCAGGAATCCACATGATCTTTGTTGGCGGGTATTCATGTTCGAAGGTCGAACAAGTTTCGAAATCTCCCTTATCTTCATTCAACTTTATGATCTCGATCTTATTTTAGGTATCTTCTATGAAAGAGCCAAGAGCCAATCTCAGATCTCTGTTTGGTTTATTGCTGAAGTTAATAGCATAGAGACTGAAGTCAGTCTAATAGGTGTATATTTGCTTCTGATTTTAACTTTGATTGTTGGGATCACCTTGAGTCATATTGCTTTGGTTCAACTGTTCTAGTGCAATTCTCTATTGTTGCTCATAAGTTAGATTTGCGTACATTTATTGACTAAACAAGTATTAAGATAAGACTTTTAATATAATGGCAAAAATGATACCTTTACATTTGTTATTGATATTGTTGATTTTAAAGCTCAAGAGGAGTTGACATTAAATTTTTATAATTAAGCTCAATTAACTTTAGAATTTATACTTATTGAAAGTAAGAATTAGTTTAATATTTATTAATTAATATAGATCTCATATCTATAGTCAATAATGGGAAGTGGAAAGCCTAGAGGTATTAACGCTGGACGTAAACTTAAGACTCACAGAAGAATCAACGTGTAAGCACATTTTCAATCCTTTCTAACCCTTTACTTAGGTGGGCTGATAAGAACTACAACAAGTCTCACTCACAATCAAAGTGGAGAAAACCATTCTCCGGTGCCTCCCACGCTGCAGGTATCGTCGTTGAAAAGGTCGCCGTCGAGGCTAAACAGCCCAACTCTGCCGTGCGTAAGTGCGTTAGAGTCCAACTCAAGAAAAACAACAAGAGAATCACTGCCTTCGTACCAAAGGATGGTGGTATGTCTTTCATTGACGAGAATGATGAGGTGCTTGTTGCTGGTTTCGGTAGATCTGGTCATGCCGTCGGAGATTTGCCAGGAGTCAGATTCAGAATCGTCAAGGTCGCTGGAGTTTCACTCTACGCTCTCTGGCTCAGAAAGAAGGAAAAGCCAATTAAATGAGGAGTTGCCCTTTAATTTCTTCTAAATGTTCTTCAATCGATATATATTTAGTATATTTATTACTCTTTCATTTTCATTTAAATATTCTCTCCAAGGATATCCCACTCAATTCACTGACACTCTAACTCCTGGGGTTTTGGGGTTTTGGGGAGATCGGAAGAGCACA